ATTTAGTCAACTTATTAAGATTTGAATAAAATTTGTTTATTATTTTATTATTTTTTTATTAAAGGGGGAAAATTTCAGGGTTGTTATTATCGGGGGGAAAATTTCAGACTTGATCCAGTATTTTTATTAAAATAAATTTATTGTATTTTTAATAAATATTTAAATAATTAGTATTTATTGATTCATTGTAGATTATTTATTAATTTAACAAAATCAATTAATATTTCTTTTTTTGTATCTGATAAATAATAATAATCAAATTTACCAAATACATACAAGGAATTAATATAAAAAACATAAAGTATACTTACTTCTTTAAGTATATTTTTATATTCTGAATAGCTATTAAAAACAGGAATATCATTAAATTTTTCTAACATATACGTGTAATTTGTTTTATCACAATCAACTCCCATCATAAAATAAGTTAATTTTATTTTATTGTGAGTTAAAGAAGAACAAATTTTGTTAAAAATTAATTCTTTTTCTTTAAATGACTCAAGTTGCAATAAAAATTTTTGATTAATTATTGAAACTATCTCATCTAACTTTGTAGGTAAAATATTTTCATCATTGTTGTTTATCAATTCAAATACCTCTTTCAGTTTATTCAGATATTCATAAAACTCAATGAATCTATTTAATAAATCTATAAAAACATTTGCAACTTTAAAATTTTTTGTTTTTTCTAAATCATCATGCTTTGTTAAACAATGAACTGCTCTCAATAAAAAACATTCAAAATAATTCAATTCATAAGGTTTATCATCAGTAGTCATATTATTTAAATTAGCAATTTGGTTTAACTTGTCTTTATTAAATGTTTTCTGATTTAAAATTATTAAAAAATTCTCCAATGGAATTGTAAACTCAAATTTTCTATTTAATATTTTAGATAAATTTTTTCTGTATGTAGCGTTTAATTCCTCTTTTTCAGTTAGTTTTTGAAATTCGTTTAAGAAATTATAATTTTTTTGTTTTATATGAGAATATTGAATTATTTTTGTGTTCCCTATTAGATTAGAATTAGATTCTTTTTTTACTACAAAAATAGTAATTGCATCATTTATACGGATACTTTTATTTTTGTCTTTATTGGTTTCAAATGAACGTTTTAAATTAGTATTTTTACTCTCTTCTGTTTTTTGTATTTTATTATTACAGTTTTTTATATCTAAGTGAGATTTTTTTTCATGTTTTCTTTTTTTATCAGGTTTTATTTTTTCTTCAATTTCAGATTTAAAACTTTCTTCTTCAATATAATAATTTTTTCTTTCATTGTTTTCTAACTCAATTAATGCATCAGCTATTTCAGGGAAATATATATGTGTAAACTCATCATCTTCTGGTCTATAATCAGTGTTTAACATATTAGAAGAACTTTCTTCTATATTATCATATTTAATTTTTTCTTCAATTTCAGATTTAGAACTTTCTTCTTTACTATAATAATTTTTTCTTTCATCGTTTTCTGACTCAATTAATACATCAGCTATTTCAGGGAAACATACCTGTATAAACTCATCATCTTCTGGTCTATAATCAGTGTTTAATATATTAGAAGAACTTTCTTCTATATAATTAGATGAATTTATTAAATTTACAATTAACAAAAAATGATTCATTTAAATTTAAGGGGTGTAACAACAAATTTTTTAAAATTGATTAAAGAATCTTTTAATAGATTTTCTTTAATTTAATTTTATTAAAAATTAATAGTTATATACAAACTGATTTTGTTAAGAATGTAAAATTATAATGATGGGTTGATTTTTAAAATTAAGTAATGTTAATTATTATTAAAAATAAAACTTTTTAATAATTACAATAACTAATTAATCAATATTTACAATATGAGAATATTAAATTAATAATCAAATTTATATCATTTTTGATTTTAATAAATAAAATTACTTTGATAAATCTGAAAAAAAAAATTATTTAACAAAAATATCATAATATTTAAAATATTTTGATTTTTATTGATTATGATTTGTAATATAACCAATGAATTTTTTAAATTCATTTTATAAGTTAAAATATAAGAAAATCCTAAACAATAACAAAAATATACATGTTGTTTCACTATTGTAATTTATCTCTGGTTTGTTACCCGGCCAAATTAAATAGTTATTTTGATACTCCATTAACTTAATATATTGATTTAAATATTCTATAAATTATTATTATTTTCTAAAACATTTTAAAATTAAACTGTTAAAAATTAAGTAATAAACAGCTTTCAGTTCAAAAATATTCACAATACTTTAAATTATAATTTTTTTAGTTTAAATGTGATTAAAATTATTGTAAATATTTTTATAAAGTGGTTTTTTTAATCTTCTTAATATGAAATAAAATAAACAACAATTTAATTTATTACAAAAAGCATTTTAGATTACTTAGTAAATGGTTTAAAACTATAATAAACTGTTGGATTGTATAAAATATTAAAAAGTAATTATTTTTCATTTTCTCTCTAAAATTGACACAAAAATGCTGTTTTTATAATAAACATTAGTCAAAAAGTTTAATTTTATATTAAAACAATAATTTGAGATAATTTAAATTAAGAATTGAACCAAATGGTTGTTGTAGAAAAAAAAATGTTTCTAAAACTACTGTTTATAATATTAATAAGTGGTTATAGGAAAACTTACTAATAACCAGAAAAGTTGGATCTGTACGTAAAGAAATTTTAAATAATTTAAAGATAAATATAATTTACAACACAGACCAAAACAAAGTATTATGATCATAAAGAGTAAATTTGAAAAAATTTTATGATTACTGTTTTAAGAGTATTGAGCAACTTTAGATTAATAACTGCTAAACTAGCTAAAAAATCTGTTAAGACCTCAAACATAATAAAAAAAACTTGCTGAAAATTTTTTAGTTACAGTGGTGGCCAAAAAAATTGCAATACCCACATAGATTAAATATGAAAACGATGAATTTTGAAACTGACAATA